AAGTGGCGGCTGGTCCGGTTAATTACATGAGGCGGTAATTTTATCATCTTTCTTCCTGTTTCATTAATCGGATTGCTATGTTTTTCTGCTCCTCTCGGTCGACGTTCCTCGACATTATTTCAACTGCACGAACCGCCACTGATTACTGAATAGAAGTACATGATATATGTAGAGATATGTGTATAAAAATCATCATGTAAATTTAATAACAATCTACAGCAACGATATACACGAGGTGTATACACATTGCTGTGTGTATATGTATATGTAGTGTGAGTGGGTGGATGTACGCGTGTATGTTTCAAGCAGAAATGTAAAAGATATTCATGTCGCAGTCTCTCGAGAATTTTATGTTTCAAAGGTAGAATGTAGCGAATGCGATGCAAATTAATTAAACACACATTTAGCAGAGTCATAAATGAAAACTATGAATGGAACTGAATATCACAATATGTCCTGCAAACATATATTTTTCGGTTTTATTCTGTTTCTTAATTGTGCTTGTATTTGATAATTTTGTTTTCTTAAATTTTGTAAGGAAACTTAAAGAAAGGAATTGAAATATCTAAAAATTTAGCTAGATATAATCTAATGATTTTGTTGGAATATCAAAATAATTATGTAGAATGCTCAAACTGATTGCTAGCTAGAGTGTCAAAACTTTTTGCAGTATTGCTTTCATCATGCTTGAGTTTTCTACATAATTATTTTTGTGGTCTAACATTTGACAAAATTATTCTAAGATCTGTATCTATCTAAATTTTTTTATAGAGACTACAGCAAAATTCTTTTTCTATTGAAATAGAGAAAATACGTTATCTTTCTATATATATTCAAATTTTTTCTCATCCAATTATATTTTAATTCTCAGAGAATTTTTTACGTTCTGTTCTTAGAATATCTGACAATAGTCGAACAATAGTGTACTGAATGCAATTTCTAGTATTAAATTAGTATTTCTTGATCGATGTGCAATCAATAATTTTATTGATCTAGTCTCGCTCCGTTGCGGTGTGATTAGAATGACAATAGACATGGTTCCTCATGTTCATGCTGCTTTATTAAGAATTTGAAACCTCTTCAATTTATATTAAATTAGTAGCTCAGAATGTAATAAGTGTGAACTTTATGTGTCGCTTTAAATAACCACAGTCATAAATATTTATTTGAAAATTTACAATAAAAAATATTTAAATGAAACGGTGTGACTTATAGATTACGCATTATTTCGATACTTATACGTCTCTTGATATATCAATGTTAAAAAATGTTTCAAAGATAATAATTGTTGTTATCGAGAATTTTGAAATCTATACGGAATTGATTGCGTAATGTGATTGACCTTGATCTATATGAACTTCAGAACTCATTTATGAAAAACATGTGATGTGAGTAGAGTAAAAATACTTAAATGTTCTTCGATTGGTAATTAGAGTCTATATAAATCCGCCTAAATCTATAGTTCTCCTTCATATCACATAAAAATTATTGAACGAGAAGCCGCGTAAGCAAATAAAATAAAGATGGAAGTACAAATTATTAAACGAAATAATTAAAAGACCAAAAGTGTTATTTTGTCTTACTGGATTGAGTAATAATCTCAAATAAATAATCTCTGACGCAGATAGCAAATTTTTTCTGAATGTCGTAATCCTTAATCCTTAATTCCCTATACGATTCTACTAAAATTAATTATTGGCGAGATTGAAAAAATGAGAAAAAAAAACAAATACTTGTTATTTGCGTCAGAATTAACATAGATATATATTTATGACTCTTTAACCTCCTGATAAGAATATTCGATTGATTTAGAAAGAGAGAAAGTGAATAAATTTATATTAATTTAGTAACAATATGAAAAAAAAATCATAAAATTAATTGACAAATGAGCCTCATTATAATCCTTATGATTGTGTTCGAAAAGCATGGATAAAATCCGCTTGCATACTGTTTAGAATAGTGCATCACCTGTTCGTATGTTATTTAGATTATCGAAGTGTCCTAAAGTTGTAAATAGTATTGGTGCTATACGTTCTATCAATGTTCTCGCAGCAGATTGATGAAACATGAATATGAAGAAAAAAGTAAAATATACGTTGATCGTAAATGTTGCAAACAGTGTATTATTCATATATGGATTTCCCCAACCTTAGCTTAGATGTCGCAATAAAGGATAAAAAAAGATTAGTTGTCATCTGAATTTCTTCAGGAAAATATTTATCTTGGAAGAATTTATCTCTCTAGAGGAGATATATAAATCGAGTACAGTATCCAATATAGCTATTGAAAATTATAATAAATGATGTACAAATAACGTACAACTATTTTTCTTTCTGAAAACAATTTTATTTTTAAGAAATCGAAACTTTTCGGACTGTTGCAACTACATTTTTCAACTTGGTGTTGTATTACAGTAAGATGGTATCGCTTTCAGGCATTGCCTGCATTACGATAGGCGATGCGGGATGCCTTTGATTTTCGGCAGAGAAGAGGAATGGTTTATATTTATAAAAAAAAACATACAATGAGAATTCTCTAATCGTGTTATACATTTATATGTATTATACATATGTAAAATTAAAAGAATATATAACGTTAAAGAGAAATGCATCGGTTAACACACTGGAATCAATACATCAATCACTGATTTTTAATCTTTGAAATACCTATCTTAGTATTGAAGATATTCATATTTTGAACACTCACTAAAAATATAGGATAGTAATTGTAAAATTTGAGCTCATTGCATGTGTTTTTCTGCTATATCACTTAGCGATACTAAGCGAGTGTATTCGTGGAAGAATATGGATTTCGCACAAAAGTCTAATACAGATTTCTTATAAAAACACGGTGTACTGATCGTGAAATGAAGCAAAGGAAATTTCAAAATTAGCAAATTCATTGTAAAAAAAAATCACTGCGAACAATTCTCTATTTTCTAATCAAAAAAAGTGAACTCACTTAAAATAAAATAGAAAAAATATTATGCAGGCAATTTCTTTCATTTATACAAAATTATATAAGTTTGAATTTTCTCGGTAAATTATTAGCGGTGATGAGAATCTTGATCGATAGGAATGGATGAAGTAGGGTAATAAAGACAGCAAATAGGTATGCAACAGCTAAATAAAAATGCAGTCATTACAG